GTGTCTCGGATGTTGAGAGGTGATGGGCCTCGTCTCTTAGCTACCTTGTCACCTTGTGAGGAGAATTATTCCCTTTGTCAGGTAGTGCCTTGGATGGATTCCTCAAGCATCTCCAGCAATCCTTCACTGACACGGGTCGCTACTGTCCAAACCCTTTTAGATTCCATTTTGCCGACGCTTTCCAACCTCAGAAACTACACCGGGTAATTTCTGAGGGATGAGTTTATCGTACTTAGGGAATGAATGGAGTGATAAGTAGTTTGACCGGTATACTTTTTCCCGAAATACACCGGTCAAATTCGGACCGATCAAATACCCACTTGCTGACGATTAAAGTCTCCCTTTCCAGAATTTTCAAGATTGACCGGTCAACTATTTGGTCTTCTCCTTTGACCGGTCATGGGTGGAATACACCCATCAACAAGGATGAATGGAACCATGTAATAGTTTGACCGGTATACTTTAGAAAAGTATACCGGTCATCTTTTTGTCCGATTTGAGTGTCCTCCGGCCGATGATTAAAGTCCCTCTCCTTAACTTTCAAGATTGACCGGTCAACTATCTGGTCTCTTCCTTTGACCGGTCATGGGTGGAATACACCCATCAGGTAGGATTGGAGTAAACTCAAATCAAGATATGTTGTTGAAAAACAAGCTAAAATAAATTGAGAAAAATGATTCCACGTTTTCCAGTCTAAAACCGCACTGGCCCTGGAAAACCGGCTTTGACCGGTTTAGAGTCGATTTTTGGAAGCCCTGCTTCGGATCTAATCCTTTACTCAATTATGGTTTTCTAATTGTGGTCTGGATCGGTCCGATTTTGTACCATTGTTCACTTTTGCCTTAAAGACACCTTTAAACGATACCATGAAATTTTTTTTTCCTAAAATGAAATATAAAACCATTATAGTGATTACTGAAATGTGCATAAAAATTATCTTCCCTCTGTTCTAAATTAATATCCTCATTTTGGCATCAATGGAAAGTGTTAGAAGTATTTTAAAAAAATTGAGTGTTTAATTAAATGTGTTTGGATTTTGAAAAAATACAAAAAAGTATTACATTAAATTTTAAAGACAACATATTTTAAGATACACTTTTAGCCTTTTAGGTTAGGAAGTAATTCGTACGGTATAATTCACTAATAATATTATAATAATAATAATAATAATAATAATAATAATAATAATAATAATAATAATAATAATAATAATAATGGTCGGTAATACCTTTTTACACGAAAATCCAACGAGGGTTATTAAAGTTCGGGGTTGGTAATAAGATTTGCCTTTCAATTTTTTTTTTAATTTTTTATTCATGAGAAAATTAAAGTGATCAAATTTAGCTGTCAAATTGTCAAATACTGATTGCCAATTCGCCATTGCTGTCAAACCAATGGAGTGAACTCAGCTGTAATTAAATACTCCATCTCCCTACATTAAGATTTGTCATAAAACGAACCAAAATTTCATAAATTTTAATCTTTGAGTTTTTGCGCCATTTGTCTCGAGGTAAATCTGTGCAATTTTCAAAAAGTTCAGGGGTAATTGACGCAAAAAACTCTTTAAATTTTTCTAATCAAAAATTAATATATTAAAGTGAAAGTATGTGCTCGAAAGTGATGTAGATGAGACAAAAAAAGCCACAAGAAGCTCTCCAAATAAGGAATGAGAAAGATTAATTTGGAACTGCTTAAAAAGAAATAAAAAAAGATTAATTTGAGATGAAGAAAATAAAAAATTGTAATGTTTGATTATTGTTCTTAATTAATTGCAATGTATGGTTAGAGTCAAAAGTGTTTCTGACCTTCTAATCCTCTCCCAAAGCTCCAATCTCCCTACCCATATGTCCCTCTCTCCATCTCCATTCCATCGCTTTGTTACAGTATTTACTGTAACAAATTCTCGAACTATAGAAAACGGAACAATAGATAAAATTATAATAAAAAAATTAGGGGTATATAATTGTATGAGCCACTTTAGACCCTTATAACACCCTAAAATCTCAATATCATAGTAATCTCACCCTATCATTTGTTAAGTGCATATGAGAGATTATTTGCAAACACTCCCAATTAAGTCCCAACCTCTTATAATTGTGCAGGTGTTGGATTGAACCAGGGCTGGCTCCAAAAAAAATAAAATTGACCCGGTCCAAAATTTATATTTTGGACCCCATTTTATTTTCTTAAAATATTTATGCTTTAAAATTAATATCGAATTTAAAAATATGGGGCCCTAAAATCTTAAAGGCTAATGGCCACTTTGCACACTTTCCGGGCAACCCATGAGAGACTAGACATTAATTTACAAATTTAATTGTAATTACACTTCTAGATATATAGAGACTCCCAATTAATATGTGAATAGAAAACTAGTTGAATTTCTATTACTCCGTGAATGGAGCAGTTATTACTTAATGACATGTCATTACTGCTTATCGAACACAATTTAGGAAAGTGTTTGGATAACAATTTAGGGATTTGCTATAATTATATCTGTATTTGCATGTTTTGTCATGCTTAATTAGCCAGCCATATATAGGGAGTAATTACAAATTTGTTCCCTAAATAATGTACTCTGTTCCGAGCTGAGGTTGAGAAGGTCTTTTCATCTTTTGTGCTAGATATAAACAAATTGGTATTGGTAATTATTGATATAATTTGATTATAATTAGTCCTATCGAATAATGAGGATTACATTAAGATATATAAAGAATACATGGAGAGATTTCTAATCAAAATAGAATTAGTAATCATGGTAATAATAGAAAAAGAAAATTAAATAATAATTTTTTTATTAAAAAATGAGATTGGTCATGTGCAACATTTACATGTTGGCCCCTATATTGTTTTGTACAGAGTACTTGTGTTTTAAAATTAATGCTAAATTTGATTTATAATAACTACTTTTATAACATTGACTATTAAAACATATATTTATACATTCAAAAAATTAAATTTAAGAATATCAAGTATTTAGAATAATAAACATCTAATAATATTGGGCTCGAAAAGTTTGGAAGTCGTGTGCGGGTGCACACCATGCAGGCCACCCATGTAATAATGTTTGGTATCTACTACTCCGTATGTTTTTAGTACAAGTATTTGGTTTATACCTTTTGATATAAACATCTTTAAGATATTTCAGGATTCAACTTTAAAATAATACATTTTCACCCAGAATTCAACTTTAAAATAATACATTTTCACTCCAAAATGAGTATGAACATTAAGATCACGTAAAAATTTGCGGAGCAGAATATGGACATGGAAAAGAGGTCACGGTATATGTCAGAGCTTATACTCTCTTCGTCTCTAAATATTTTACACATTTTATTATTTAAAAATTATGGAAACTTCTATTTATTTATGTGTATTTATTAACTATTTGATAAAATAAAATATTCTTATCACATTTTGTTTTATAGAATTTATTGATGTACTTTTTAAATATGTAAGTTTTATTTTTTTTTATTTATATACTAGTTTTTAAATAAAATGAATTAGAAGAATTTGAGATTTTACTTCGTTTTCCGTAAAATTAAATGATTTTGGGAGGGCACAATGGGTGTTATTAAGTTGTTGGGTGATGGGTAAATTACCAAATAGAGTTATCAGTTGGGCAAGTTAATGCTTTCAATTTATTATGGACTCTATTTAATTTCTATTTGGTCTTTGTATAAAAATGTGCACCAACATAAAATAAATTAAAGTCGTCATCATCAATTACATATTGCAAGATATAATAAAGTCACCTCATATACACTCCGTCCGTTTTCAAATGACTGTCGTTTGACATTTTTATTCATTTATTTTTTGCTCCTTTATTTGTACTCCTCATTATAATATTTTAAAAAACAATACTTTATGTTCTTTTAAAATATCATCACAAATTGCAATAGAGAAATATCTATTTGCAACACTCTATACATATATACCCGATTATTACGGAGTAGATATCATAGGGAGAATTCTCTGTATAAGAGTAAAACACTATGAAACTACAAAAATGAGAGTATTATATTTTTTAAGACTAAAAAGAAGTTTACACTATGACACTCAACACATTGTCACTTTGCAAACACCGGCCACCAGAGTGCCGCCGCAGATCGATGATCGTTAACTGATCACACTGTCGTATTACGTTGTCATCGTTTTTTTATCACATTGCCAACGTGCATTATTACATCACACAATCATCTTATTTCTATTTTGGTCTTAAAAGACTTAAGAGTTTTATTTTGATATTTTCATACCTTTTTACTGCTATTTAGGGAGATTTGTTTATATTATATATACACATATAAATAGAAAAAATTAATGAGTAAAATTTTACATTAAGAATTGTAGAGAATAAAATTAATAGAAAATTTCACAAGGAATATAATTGAGGATACTGCACAGACAATTGTTCTCTGTATCTGTGTGCAAACATATTTGGTGTGCAAATTCAAGTACAAATTTGGTGTACCCTAACACACCTCTTTTTTTTAGGAGTACTTTATTTTTCAAAAACAAGAATCATAGGTTTGTGAAAAAAATGTAAATGTGGTTTTGAGTGCGCACGGAAATGGGCAAACGTTTGTTGATGGTGTCGGCAATTCCGGAGGATGGACGAAATGGTCGGGAAAAAATGAAACAAATGGCCCAATGCTTACTAGGTGGAGTTCATAATAAAATAGTCAACGACCTATGCCTATACACTCCCGATGGATTTTAACTCGCCAACTATTGATGCACGAAGAATAATAATAAGAAAATAAGAATTCTCGAAATATATTCTCTCTATTGCTCGTATTAGCTTAATTTAGTTTGGGTTTGTATATGTGATTTTCCTCTGTTTATAGCGTGTATGGTATTTAATCAAGCCACTGGCTGCGATCGAAGTGGTTAATGTCCGTTGCGGCTTAGGAATCAGTCTTAGCTTCAATCTCCCCACTAGCATCGCTATTGACCCCTTCATCGACCAATGCACAAGAGTCTACATATCAAGCTCATTCTCTGAAACTGAGTCCCCTTCGGTAATTGCAGAGTCAACTAATTAAAGATGCCCGATGGGCCTATTCCATATTCTCACATGCCCAATATCTATCACTCCTCATTCTAAATATTGTAGAGTTCGACGTCATTCAATAGTAAAAAGATAAGCAATTTATGTTCCCCATCATAATAAATTGTCAACGACCTACGCCAATACATTGGCTCATTGATTTTAAATTTAACACACCGACTATAAATACACGAAGAAAGATAATAAGAAAACAATAACTCTCAAAATATATTCTCTCTATTGCTTGTATTAGCTCAATTTAATTTTGATTTGTACATGAATTTTCCTTCTATTTATAGTCTACATAAAGGGCATGTTTGGAAATAACGTTGGCGATCAGCGTTACCGTTTTGAAAAGGCTATCTACGGGCAGCGTTAGCGTTTTCAAAATAATCTGCACCGTTAAAATCTTATCCAAAACGCTAACGCTAATCTCTAACGCTATTCCAAAATAGACCTAAAGTGATATACATGTCATTTAACCAAGTCTTTGGTCTGCGCCATAATCAAAGTGATTGGCGTTCATCGCAGCTTAGGAATCTGTCTTCAATCTTCCCACTAACGTCGCTATTGACCCTTTTATCGACCCATGCACAAGAATCCGCATATCATGTCCATTCTCTGAAACTGGGTCTCATTTGGCAAGTGCAGAATCAACTAATTAAAGATGCCCGATGAGCCTATTTCAAAACCTCAGAGGCCCAATACCCATCACTCGTCATTCTAAATGTAATGGAGTTCGACATAGGGTATTTTAATAGTAAAAACATAAGCAATTTATGTTCCCCGTCATGTCTGCGTTGAACTGGCAAAATAGGTGTTGTAAATGCCGGTGTTTGCATTTGCTGTGGAACAAGAATTTAGTGCAAACGGAAACACATTATTGTACACAATTGAGCGTCGAATCTCTTTAGACTCGCACACGTATATAAACATGATTGGTCGTTAGCCAAAAGTTGAATACAAGAAATGAATAACACACAATATTTTAGAGCTTTGATTTGAAAAAATTGTTTTTTTAAACTTGAATACCAGAACTAGCCACAAGAACCGTGGAGTACTAGAATTGTTTGTGGTATGGTTATCATTAATTATTCGAGACAAGGTGAGGTAGGATTTGACATAAATATTTGACGTTGTTTTAGAGATATTTGGGTAGAGTGCCTACTTTTTCTTTTCTAATTTTACTTGTTTCTAAATTTGACCGACTTTATTTCTAATTTAACTTACTCCCTCCGTCTGAATTTTGATTACAATTTTACAATTACAAGGTAAAATCTCATTTTTTTTCAAAATCATTTCATTTAAGAATTGATATAAGAATAAAAAATAAAATTTACATATTTAAAACTACATCAAATGTTCTACAAAAACAAGAGATGACAAAGATATTTTATTTTATCAAATAATCAATCAGAATACACAAATAAACAAAAGTTATCGAAATGAAAGAAAAATATTGTAATCTATTTTGAGACGGAGTATTTGGTTGTATGTGCAACATAAAAAAATAAAATTTACTTTGTATATGGTAAAAAAATTATACAAAAAGTCATAGAAAATGTGACATGCCAATATTATTTTATGAAATGAGTAGTGAAACTAAATAAGGGAACTGAAATTTAACTATGTAAATAGTGTACGAGAAAGTATTAGGCTATGGACCTCGATTGGTCAGAGGCTTAGAGCATAGTTAGAGGAATATTCAAGGTCAAACATATAAATAATTACAGAGTATGGTATATATAAACCAACCAACAAGAGACAGATTATTAGATAATCAAATTAATTAGAGTACTCTGTATTTAACAGGGATGCTCCCTCCATTAGTGAACCCATGATTTTTTAGGGGAATTTATTTAAATAACACTAAACATAATGACTTTTCTAAAAAAACATCATATGTATTTTTTCCAATGTTGCACTTTTAGTCATTATCTATTAGTCATTATTCAAGTAAATGTTCACCATCACTAGACATTATTTCTCTTTCTGGATATTATTAAGTGTTATTTAGGGAATAAAACAATTTAAGTGCTATTTAGGAAAATGCTATTTAGTGCAAATATTTCTTTCTTTTACTCTAAACTTGTCAACATGAAAAATAATTAATGAAAGATATAATAAGAGAATTGTCGGGATGATACTTAGTTCCCTTTTTAATGGTTTTAAAAATGATATCCAATGATGACTTTTACTTGATCATGTTCAATGTCATTGTTTCATAGTTCACAACCAATATTTTACTTTATTTCACTAAAAGGAAAAAAAACCTAAAACAAGGGACAGAAATTCTGATATACATGCCAAAATTGAACATTTTGAAACTGGGAGATACACAAAGATACAAAGCACCGTATAAATAACGAACTCTTTCGAACAACTCAACTCGCGCATATGCATTTTGTCGGGCGGTCTTACGTGACCAAAAAATGTACAAAAGAAATTCATACTCATTCTATACTAAGCTAAGCATCCAAGACTCCAAACAATAAGTTTTGTACTAAAGCAGAATTTCCAGAGGCAGAGTGTAGAAGAAGACTCTTAGATGCCATATTCTGAACTAGAAGCAAGAACAGAAGTTGATTCTCTAACAAATGAGAATGTGTACCTTGTTGTGGGGCCAGTGGCGAGCCTGTACCTTCAGGAGCAAGGGGCGGTTCATCTGCACGAGAGGGGCTATCCAAGTTGCTGTTATTATTATTATTATCCTTTGATTGGTCGTCAGAATCTTCACTTTCATTTTTAGGTTCATTTGAGCTCCCTTCGTTATCATCTCTTGGAATGCTCTTAGCCAAGTCCGGTCGTGGTTCAACCCCAACTCGTCTCAAGTGTAGCTGTTTCATTAGGAAAATCGACATTAGGGGCATGTTTGGTTAGGGGGTTTCAAAGAAGATAGAAGCGGATGATCGATTGTTTCTATCAAATTTATCTCTATTTGTTGGCAATGGATTATATGGAGTAAGATAACTTGGCAAATACTACCTCCGTCCCAGAGTATTTGTCCACTTTCATTTTTACACACCATCCAATACACTTCTTTAATCCATTTTATCTTGTAATTTGTATATTAAAAAATTATAGAAATTATATATTAATAATCTATATGTTAAGACAAATCAAACAAGATCACACATGACTATATTTAGGCTTACACATTGAGAGAATTTGATGAGTCAAAGTGCTTAGATGAACAGTTCCAAAAGTCAAAACTGGACGAATACTCCAGGACGGAGGGATATTTGTGTAAAATGTTTGATCTTTCACTTTCTTTCCAATCAAATATCTTGTAAAATTTATATATTTAAAATCTGCATCAAAGGTTTGACAAAACTATGGTGGCTAGACACACTATTATTTTATAAAATTAGTAATGAAAAAAGGGAAAGAAAAAGGTCAAAATTTTACCATGCGAAAAA